GGTCGATCTCGAGGATAAGGCATGTGTCTGACCCCCTGCTCTCCCTCCTTCTCTCTGATCCAGACGCATCTCCTAATCTTTTTTCCTCTTTGGAAGAAGATCAAATTGAAAACTGAGATCCATCAATATATAATAATAAATATTCATGGAGACTTGGGCTCAACAGCCAAATTGGAGAGATTTGTTGAACAATAAATGACTTTATAAAGTCACTTTTTTAATCTATATCAGTCTTTTGATCTGCCACAATAATGTAATAATGAATTTAAATGAAAATACCTCAAATTCAAGGCTTTTCCCAGCAATTTTTAGGTGAGATTAAAATGAGATTAATTAGATTAATTAATTACAGATCATAATTAATTAATCTCTAAATTTTTTTAATCGCATGACAGCACTAAAAGATACCACAAAATACTCTAGGCAGTATATTGATACAGCAGAGCATGATAACGATACTGTGTCACCACATTTATATCATGATATTTCTATATTTTTGCACACCCCTAATATGATCTCTGCATTACATTATATGTTTGCATGGATAATACCATTTTTGCTTTGCTTCTTAGCTCTTGCCACTATAAGTACAAATCCAGAAGGAAGTCTGTGAATGTTGTCAGGTTTTATTGTTCTCTAGGGACTGTGACAAGAATCTCACACCAATTTAAAAATATATAGACAACCTATATTGCTTTTTGACCTCTATAGAATATTCATGAATGTGGGATCATGCCTGTGCCTCTGTTTATAGAGAATCTGACAAATGTCCAATATAGCAGTGCATATTTGGAGGTATATTGTCTGTAGCGGCTGTTGTGTTTTTGCTCTCAGGGATGAGCACTCGTCTTCTGTTTTGCTAATGCAGATTTTCCACTTGCTCAGCACTATAATGCCTTCTCCACCTCCACCTGTTTTCAATGTACACAAGAAGTACACAAGAGATTACATGAAAATCTACCCGATAATACCAACACTTTATGGCTGTTTTGGTTTTTATTTTTTGTTGTTTTTCAGATCTCAAAATCTATAAATCTTTGCCAATACATATTTTATTTTTGGACATTTGGGAATTGAAAAATCACAGACCTGTATTATCAATTATATATGGAATGAACTCAAACAAGGCATTGGCCCCATTTCACAATCCTGGGGTTGCTCAGGAATACATTTTAGGATAACAGTTTGTATATGCCAGATTAGCAGCCAGATTAAAATTTACTTTATGTTTAATTTATTACATTTCTTATGATTATATCATGACCTGATTAATGACTTCAGGAACTCAACAGTCCTGCCTACCTCAAAGTCCACTCTGGCCCTAGAAGTAAATTTTCCACAATCCATGATTGTTTTAAGTCTTTCAAACTTTTAATATGAATTTCTTTCAGAAAGTCTATGGGAAAAACAAATGGGAAATTTACCGGAACCAGGGGGTGTACGTTCAGTAATATCCCAAATCATGTAAATTTCACCTAAATTACTCCGTCAACAAATTGTATGCAATAATGAACTATTCCAACTCTTTCTTCCTGCTCAGAATATAGAGCTGCATCCCCCATTGGCCTCTTTCCTGTCTCTCCTCAGCTCGTCTTTAGCTTATGGCCTTTGTACATCCCTCCTTGTTCTCGGCTCTTGTCCAGACAGTCTTACACTTAGCCCCAACTAACTGTTGGTGCAGTGCTGATGTATCCATATAAAAGTGTCTGTGTGTCCGTCTGTCTCATAAGTGATGTATGACTCCTCTGGACGTGATCTGCTTTAGCGCAGGAGAACATAGACACCTCACTGCAAGGGCACACACATCTAATGTATTGGTTTCATTTTAGTAGAATAGTAAGTGGAAGTAGTATTAGTGTTATAATATTTTTTCTTTATGATACTAAATGCAACCTCCGACATATTATGGCAAAATATGAAAACACATCAAAACTAGATATACACAGATACTGATTTTGGGTTATGTTTTACAATCTCTGCAACATCTCATGATGTTGATGAGCCTTTATAGAAGACTCATCCTTTGTAGACTTTTATTAGGGCAGTGTAAATACATTTTAATTGAGATCGAGATTCTTTCTAATCAATGATATTCTTGGGTGTTTTAAATTAAGAGCTCCACAGCCAAAGGGATGTGGTTTGGAGCAGAGTTCAGGCTTAGACTTAAAAGAAGAAATCTGAGTATTTTTTGTCCCAGTGTATGATTATATTATTTTCAAGAAAAGCCATTATGTGTTAATTTGTATTAAGATGAAGTAAAAATTTAACCAAAATCAGGGATTGATGATATGAGGAAGTAAAGTGTGAGTAATTTCCCAGTCCTATAATAAATGTTATAAGACTAAACATACTTTACTGAGGAATTCACCATATTACTGGAAAGTTGATAATTTATTTCCTGTTACTGGTGTTGGACACTGCTGTTATGTCCTTGAGCAAAACACATATTTCACCTTGCCTGAGTGAATGTCATTTACTAACAGAAGAATAGCTCTGTGAGTGTGACTCATGAAGGACTAATGACTGTAATTGTCAAGCAATTTGAGAATGTAGAAAAAACATTTTCAGACTGATATGTTGATACAAAGAAATGAATCCAAATTATCATTTACTAGACTGAAGTACCACCAAAATATGTACTACAATACCACTTTAAAGTACCTAGAGTCTGCCTTTCTTGTTGTGTTTGGCCTTGGTATTGTTGCATTAACCCTTTATGTCCCAGATACCCCCCCATTTTGCAGTTGCCATGGAAACACAGGCTCGATCATGTGTCTGAGCCTGCGACTGCAATTTATAACAGCTCCCTCCTCCCAGCACTAGCACGGGCTTTGTGTTGTGTTTGCTTTTCCACCTTCTGTCTAAGTCAATTTGGTCATCATTTCAGGAGCTGTCAAACGTGTGCAGCAGAGGCTAGGTGGATATTTTAAGTGTTTCTAGACAGGTTTTACTCCAAGCAAAAACAGGCTCTTGTTATTATGTATAGTGCACACTAGAAGCACTCCACCAGGCATTGAGTCTGTACATCTCATTTTAATTTTAATTGCATTTGTTTTAAGTTTGTAGTTAATGGCATAGTTACTTCCCCTTATCACTAAAATATGTATTTTTGACTCTTTCTTACAATGGTAAATATAGTAATACCTTTCAAGTTTTTGCTTTACTTAAGATATACTTAAATTATTGCAAGTTTCTTTAAGGTATTCTTAGACAAGTTGTTTGCCCTGTAAATAACCATATGAGCCCCAGGCCTCCACTTGGAATACAGATCCCAAGTACTGTCTGATCAATCATTGCAGTCTCCCAGGATCAATGTGTACTGTGTAGGGCAGAAAAGAAGGAGAAGACATGTTTTAGAGGGGCTGGTGGGTCATCTGTGTTTTAGAGGGACTGGTCAGTCCTGTACAGTCTGTTAATGTGCCTCCTCTCCTGCACAGAGGCAGAACAGACTGACCAGCTGTGAGCCTGGAATACTTTGATCAATTGGCTTCAAAAATATACATTATTCTTGTTATTGTAAAATTATATAATCATTGAATTTATATAAATAAATATTTTTTGTGCTTATAAAAAAATCAACAGACATAATTTTTAAAAATTGCCAAATGTTTAATTAATGTATGTCTACCCAAAACATGCAGAATAGATCTAAACAATAGTCCTGACCAAAAGCTAACTCCCTAGACACTGTACTGCAACATCCACTGCTTCTGACAGGTTCCCCCAGCTGCACTGGTTGAAGAATGGGCCAAATGCAGACGACAATAAAGAGTACCTTACCTTGTATAAAACTTTTCTTGTTTTGAATTTACCCAATATAGTGAGATCTTATCCATTTTTAAGTGCCCATTGTACTATAAAGTTTTTGATAATGCATAACCACATATACATTCTTAATTAATTTATTTCTCTGCTTGGTTACTTTGGATTGCAGTAGGTGTTGCGCCTTTATATTTTGCCTCACCATCTTCTTTGGCACTCTCAGTCATTCTAAAGTGCTCCGCTTTTGTCCATAGAGTGACTGTATTTTCACTTTTCACACCTCTTTTTGAGTGTGCCCTGTCTGACACTGTAGAGCTACCTTCACTCAGAGTGGATGAATCAGCATGGAACAATGCGAGGAACCACGCATACCTCAGAATTGAAAACACGAGTAGTTTTTGTTTCATATTAGTCATGCACTTGAGGTTCAGTTTATTACCATGAGTCAGAGGCAGCATAAATGTGAAAGTAAAGGTATTTTGATTGAAAAAAAAGACCTTGTGTACTTCTGGTGGTCTTATTGAAAAAGTTATGTGACATTTGTTTTGTGGAGGGAGGGTGATTCGCCTACTCTCCCTCTCTAACATTACACGATGTTATGTCCTTGGGCAAGACACTACTAAATTCACCCACATCATGAGTGATTTCGTGAAACTGAAGCAAGTGTGGCTGTAGCTATGGAGGATGTATGAATTTTTCTTCATGCATTTTCTATAGGCCACGATCTGATAAAAAAGGAGGTGGCAAGCACCTGCATGTAAAACATAAAGAGAAAGATGTAATGCACTTATTTTCAATCGAATCAACCACTCTGGGGTGAATCAGGATCATTTTGTACAAAACCTACAAATAAAAAATGTATTTAAAATTCTAAAATGTGTTTTATAGGAATTCTGTCTAGATTTTCTTTTTACTCAGTTACAAGTGCCTAAATCAAATTTTTAGATATTGGTTTCGGCCTTGAAATGGAATTGTCTGGACACAGCACATGTTCAATATACTGTCAGTCAATATCTCCCGACAGCAACTCACCTTTATATTTACTGGGTTCAGAAACAGATTCAGTTTGAATTAGGGGCCATTTTAGTAGGATGGTGTAGGAAAAATCAGCCAGAATAATAAAGCAAAAAAAGTATTTATTTATTTAAATGAGTATAGTCCATATTAAACAATGTGTCAGTAAGCAGCTTCAACATAAAAGCTTGTTAATAATATCAATGTGCTGTGTATGTTTTTAGGCCTGAGACGCAGCAGAAAGCCCCGGTGAGCACGCCCCCTCCCCCGCCGCCCCCTCCACCCCCTCCAGAGCCCGTTGGACCTCCTGAACCTGAGGAGGAGATCCTGGGCTCAGATGATGAGGAGCAGGAAGACCCCGCTGACTACTGCAAAGGTCTGAACCCACAGCATTTGAAGAGCCACTATGCAACTTTTCCGATAGAGTTTCAGAAGTAGTCGTCTGGACAGTGTTTTTGAATCTAGACATTTCAACTACCATCCAGAAGTCATTTTAAATCTGGGGGTACTGGATGACATTTCTGGACTGATGAGGGATTATACTGACTCTTTTCTCATGGAGGGTTTGCCAACTGCTTGTCTCCATGGAGATGGAATTGGTTTGCCTTGAATGTTTCACAGATTGGCATTTAACATATCTATCTCCATGGAGATAACACCTGCAATATGGGAATCAGTATTTTGGTAAACTTGGTTGGTTTAATGAACACTTAGAAGGTCAAATATAAATGGCATAGATGATAGAAGAGGCAAGTATGACCATACACGTACACATTTTTTATTATTTAAAGGCCCTATATTACACAAAATAAATTTTTGTGAGCTTAACCCATGTTAGAATGATATTACCTCTTCATAAGCAGTTGTGTTTTGTTTCATTCACATGTCTGAGAAATCCTTTATTATTAGTCTGTCTAGATCTTCAAACCTCAAAATGCTCTGTTCCACCTTGTGATGTCATGAAGTTATCAGCTACCTTTTACCTTTAGTTCAGTAGAGATTGGCAATTCCAGGGCTGAAATCACCCAAATGATTCTATTGAAGGTGTATGGAGTTTAAAAGCACAGTGAAGCTCTTCCTATATTACCACATTACGTCACAACATTAGAACAGTGTTTTCTGTTTGAGAGAAGAACTCATCGTAATTTTGCATAAATATGCTGAAACAAAACACAGCTACAGGTATTTTTGTGATTATGAAACAACATTATAACATAGATCATTAAACAGTTTAATCTTGGCAGTTGAATTATAATTTTGCCTTAATTCTGTCTTGAATGTTTAGAGATAACATAAAAGTTACTGATACATTTTAATTGTTATGGATACGTATTTTTTCATTGCACAATAAAAATTGTTAGATGTATTGTATCAGTAAACATATGGTAACACTGCCTTTTCTAATGCAGTAGCTTTAGTTTTTCAATGAGGCCCGCCTCCACCACAGATTTTATGCCATGTGGTCGTGTAATCATAGCAGGGCTTTCTTATGGTCTACATAACAATAAAATAAACATACCAAATAAAAGGTAGTACATGCCCGATGCTCTCCTCTGTCTCTCTGACCTTGCTTGTTTACGGCGTGTCTGCTAAGGATTATGTGTCATTGGCTGGTTATCACTTCCAGCCTCTATAACCTTCATGTCGTCTCTTTTTATCTTCGTCAGGAGGGTACCATCTGGTGAAGATTGGGGATTTATTCAACGGGAGGTACCATGTGATCAGGAAGCTGGGGTGGGGACACTTCTCCACCGTATGGCTATGCTGGGACATACAGTAAGTCACGTTTAAAACCACAGTTAAAGGAGATTTGTTCATTTGGTTTAATTTGGATACATCAGCATAAAGACTCTGCAGCCCTACCATGATTAATCACAACTGAATCAAATGCGCAATTTGATTGGTTGCAATAAGCACATTTAAGGCTATAGGTAATATTATTAAGGGTAAATAGGGTTGTCAAAAGTATCGAAAATCATATGCTAATTGATACTAAAACTAGTATCAAAACTAGACATTTGAGTATCAATACTAAAAAAGTCACGCAGGGGAAAAATTAAGCTTCCCTGAACAGTTTTAGAATAATCTTGAGCTGTATCAGAGCAAGATCATAGTAGTAAGTTTATAAAGAAGTGGACTTAGAGAGTGTGACGTCACCCATAGCATTTGGTCTATACACAAATGAAGCCACCGAGAGAACAGATAGAAGTAAATTTGGAGCTGAGTTTCATATTAGGAACAAGAATTGATTTACGGACAAAATAGTGAAATAAAAATACAAAGATGATGTAGAGCGGGTTAATACGAACATTTTATGATCAAAATATGGAGTCTGACAGCAGCAGTAATAGAGAGGGGTGCCATTTTTTCTTTTTTTTTCTTTTTTTTTTGTTTGTTTTTTTGAGTATGCCCTTTTACAGTTTATGGTAGACTATGGTAGACACTTATGGACCACTATAGAACATACCTGGATGACTGAGGGATTACATAGAGATAAAACCACATGGTAATATAAATGAAAGTACTATTGTTTAATGTTGAAAAATCACATTTTATTGTCTAAAGAAAGACAATTGTTTTTTATTATCATCGTGGTATCGGAATCATTATTGAGTAACGAGTCTATTCCCTAGTATCAAAATTGAGTTTGAAATTTTACTATCATGACAACACTAAATGTAATTTCTCTGTGGCGAACTAAATATCCTGGGCTTGTCATTAATACTATATATCTATGATATTTCTCATAACACCAGTTATGGAATACAGTCTCCTCCCTTTCAGAATGTGACATCATCTCATTCTCGAATCTGAACACAGCCAGTAGAAAGATGCACACCACAAGCGCGTCATGACCCAGAAAAGAGTAAAGACAGAAGATACTCCTCTCACGTCACCTAGCAACACAACTTCATACATCCAAAGCCTCCTTATGCATGTGTTATCCTGCTTGTCACCTCTGATAAAGAGACCTTTTACTTTACAGTTTGTAAACACTGCAGCTGGTTATAACGAAAATGTGTCAAAAGCTAAGTAAACAACAATAGGGCCTACTTGTTCAACAAAGGAAGCACTGTAATCTGATATTCGGCCTGATGGTTTTGGATACTGACTATGTTGGTATGTTGGTTCATAATTTCATATTCAAATGATTGTAATTATGTAGTGGTGGGCAATATTAACAAAAATGAATATCCTTTTTTTACAATATCCAAATGACATTGACAATATTCAGACAATATTATCACACTCCATTAGAAATGCATTAAAATATGACAGTAAATACTCGATACTCAGATTAGACTAGGCAAATATTAAGGAAGCACTAATGAAGGACTAAACTTGTACTAAAGAAGGTGTAATACTAGGTCTAAACTGGGACTGAAACAAATCTGTACTAAACTAGTACACAACCAGGTCCAAACCAGGTCTAAAAAGTAATAACACAAGCCTTACTAGTTGTAGTTGCATCATAACTATTGGACTACTTCATATTAATATCAGGATCTGGCACATCACCATGGCAACACCTGCAACCAAAAACATCTCAGGGTTGCCAGACTTCAGAGACCAAAACAGCACAAAAGCATCTGAAAAAACATTTCAAACATGAAATATTCAACACTTTTTACATGGAAACCCTTAAAGCTGCACTATGTAACTTTTCTGGTGAGACTTCGGCATCTGTTAGGAGTTATAGCTTTACGGGTAACTTTGATGCCATACTGTGGAAAATTTCAGGTGAAGCAATATCATCTCTATGGAGACAAATGGGTGATGGGCTCTCCACCAGATAGGTTACATAGTGCTCATTTAGCCTCCATCACTGGAACCACCATCCTCACTGGCACACTGTTTGTTTGTGTTCCCGTGGCAACAGCACCGGACTACTGACAGGATCGGCAGGCGCGTGTCACCTTCCACTGGACTCACAGCCTCACACAAACTCATTTGCTCCTGTCACTGGTGTTAATTACTCTAATGCTGCCAATAAAGCTCTCAGATGGAGTCCTGTTACCTTATTTAGCGTTTCACAATTAGTCACTACCTCACTCGTTTGGTGTTTACTGACTGGAGATCATTTGTTTCAGATTCTCGTATAGATGATCAGAGTATTAAAGCTGAGGGACAACAAGAGCCACCACTGATAGTAATTCAGATGACTTAAACCAACATTCTTTAGGCCTATGATGTTTAATGTCATGTAGTGACACCTTGGACCTAATCACTAATATTACTGTAGTGTCCTGTTTAATCACATGGGAGAGTTGATTTTGGGCATTTCAGATGAAAATATACCAACACAAAATTCATTGCCTACCAATGAATTAATATCCTGCTATAACAAATGACTTCTTCTGAGAGTTCAAATTTCTCTATTAGTGTTTCCCATTAATAAAGGAGACTGTGATTCTAAAAACCAAATGTTTTGATTCTAAAGACAAAATTTCACCACAGAGTCTAAAAACCTAGTCTGATTTATCAGCCTGTCTGACCTTGCACCATTAGAATTTGTTCGCTCGACAGTAGCCGGGTACTTTTTTTCATTTAACCAATTGCTGCTATTTGGTCGTGATGTATGTAATGCGTCGCTAACGGGGCTAACTGTATATTAAGCCCAAATCCCGTTGGAAGAAGGGCAATAACGTCTTTCCCCTTCATAAAATTCACCAAACATTCTCTTTGTTCCAGCTTTAAATCCTCTATCACGGGAACTTGCACTTCTGGGGTTTTTGCGAACCGTCTAGTGTACTCTGATTCCTGACCTAGTTGCTGGAGTGAAATTAAATTGAGCAGAGGCACTAGGTGGCGCCAGCCTGGCTACTAAAAACCAGCTGAGTAAAAAATTGACAAAACAAATATAAAATATTACCTTATGCTTGTAGTGTTATCATATGCATACAGAAGTAACCATTCTGTATCTGTAATCACTATTATTTTTGTGCAGTAGAGGCAATATGTGACATTTATACACCAAAATATAATATTAAATAAAATGATTCAAATATGGACTGCTTTTGTCACCATAGTCTTCATATAAATCTGTGGGAAACATCAACTCTGATTGGTTAAATCCACCTGTCACTTACTCACAGAGGCTGACCAATAGGAGAGGGGATGGGGTGTCTCTGCTGTATTAAATAGAAAAGCACTGAATCACAATTTGACGATATCACCAAAGGAGCACCTTATTTCAGAGATCAGGTCACGATTAGATTTTTATTGACACATCAGCTTCCTTCATAGCAAATATTATGAGTTTCAGAAACCCTGTTATTGCAGCACAAGATTGAAAGTGGTAGTCACTGAAGCTGAAATAAAAAAAAAAAAAAAAACTTTTCTATAATGTAACAAATGAAAAAGTTTGCATTTCAGTTTGACCTGAGCCCACAAGAGAGTAACAACAGGTCACAGTAGCTCCTTAAAAACATACTTGCTCTTATTATTATAATATATTGTGATGTGTGAGCTACTGAGCCCAAATATGTGTCTAAGTCTAAGTATGCATGTTTGGATGCAGTTTTGCAGGTATAACCACAATCAGATAGCTGTTACCACAGACGTTTGTGCAAAAACATCTGTGCACTCTGATAGCACATGTAGTACAAACTATAAAGCCACAGCAGTGCTTTCAGTATAGTTTTCAAAAACACCAATTATCTTATAATTTCACTGTACAGTATTTATAGGGGATTTTGGACAAGATCTTTTGGAGTGGCCTTTTCTTGCTATTCAGTACAGAAAATATTATTATTTGGTTACTGAACAGAACTAAACCAGTTTATTGTACATTTTTATTTTAAACAATGATACAGCTGCTGTCTACAAGCGTCCTCCAAGTTGTAATATTAGCACAATTAAAAGTGTCTAATATTTGGTAAAGGACTTTTAAAACAAAGAACAGCATGTCCAGAGCAACGCACCCTCAAAACCCACAAAATCAGTCCATTTCAAACCATCGTTGAAAAGGTGAGCCTGTTATGTAATGTGAATATATTTAAGACAAAATGCCACAGTCTCATACATTAGCACGTCTATTTGTCGTGTGGGTAGTGCGAATTAGACTAGGCACTATTTGTTCTCTATATTTGACGTAGAAGGATTAATCAGCATTATTGGCTGTTGGGACCAGTTAGAGTGACTCAGGTAACATTTAACTGTGCTTTTGTGTGTCTTCAGAGTGAAGAACTTTGTGGCAATGAAGGTGGTGAAGAGCGCTCAGCATTACACAGAGACAGCCCTGGATGAGATCAAACTGCTAAGATGTGTAAGTGTTTGGTATTTGTTTATTTCTTGTAATATCAAAAAACAAAAAAAAAACTTTTGCAGAACATAAAACATACTATGCTCAAAACAACCTATATAGGTAGTATGTGTCCCTGTCCTGCTAAATTGTGTTTCTAAATGTGACTAATAATGTTTAACTTATCATAATGTTAAATATTAGCTTAATGCTGCTCAGGTAGGGCTACAATATTAAAACTACTTATTTTAATGTATGTGACTGACGTGCCAGGCTAAATAGTGTAAAACAGGGTTCTCAAACTCAATTGGAGCAGGGGCCAAAGTTATAAAATCAGCATTGATCGGGGGCCGCATATTATATAACATATTATATAACATATTATATATGATCACCAAACTATCATGCAGCCTCACATAGAAAAAACTTGAATAAAATGTGTAGTCTGATACATTTTATAAGGGCTGCATGATATGAGATAAAGATATTTGTACATGTTATATCACAAACTATATTGTAGCAATACAGGTACTTAACATTTTTTGACACAATATCCCCATGCACGTAAGAATATTTAGAATTTAAGGAGAAAGTTACTCTCTAGTCCAGGGCTCTCAAACTCAATTGGAGGAAGGGTATCACTGATTGTTTTGCAATTAGTTTAAAATAAAAGGTGCACTATATACCCTTTCTCGTGGGATTGTCCACCAACTGCTTGGTTTCCATGGATATATACTGTTTTACCTGGAAAGCACCACAGTAAATATATCTAGCATTTATTCAGTTACAGGTGTTACTTGAATTGAAAAACATGCATTGCCTGTAATTGGATTTGGTGGCACCACTTGCTAGTCTCTATGGAGATAGATAAGTATTAAAGCCATAATGTGTAACCTTCCAGCCAAAGCAATGACAAGTCCATGGAAATCAGCACCAGCAAAGTTACATAGTGCACCCTTAACTGAGGTAAAATACACAATTGTTGGTACATATGTCAACCAGATTAGCAGAGTGATAATCTCATCTCATTGTGAATATGAATCGACTGAAGTTTTGTTTAACTGCTGAAACTGTTTATAAAAATATAATTCTTTAATCCCTAATGCAACAATATGCAATCTGATTTTCGTCTATACATACTGGTGAAGTTAGTTTCACCAGTATGTATATTTATGTATATCACATATTTTCAACTGCTTTTTAACAATAGAAATGAAGGTCTAGTTTGAGACAGAGTAGAAATTGGAAGTCTGTCTGTTTACAATCACATAAATAAATACCACCTTTGCATCTTTGTCCTTGTCTTGAAGTCTGTGCTCTGTTCAGACTGACTGATTACTTGATAAGAAAGAGGTTTGTTCGTGCTTTCTTTCTGTGCCCCAGCTTGTGTGTCTGATTGTGATTCTGTGCTGCAGGTGAGAGAGAGCGACCCCGAAGACCCAAACAAAGACATGGTTGTTCAGCTGATCGACGACTTCAAGATCTCAGGAGTCAACGGCATTCGTATCCTGTTCTGAATCAAACGGATGTGACTGCTGTGTGAATGAGAACGAAATGTCTCCATACTAATCGTGTGAAGTAAAAGTACTCTTGTTATTGTTATTAGTAGTACAGTATACCACAACTACCACTATTGTTGTTATTGCAAGCATGCTACTTCTGACTGCTCACTGATTATATAATACTTGTAGAACTGCATTACAGCTACTACTCCTTTTTCACTACTCCAAAATATGTTTATTAAAGAATGATTCAGGATATCAACTTACGGGGTTAGGCTTAGGAGTATTAATTACATAGTTACTAAGTCTGAATCATAAGTCCACATATTAAATACATATATACTAAAATGTACTAAACTATAACAATAAGTAGTAATAATACTTGTTTTGAGGGACATCCCCAAAATGAATTGGGTAAAATATCTTGTCATTCATTGTTCTTTCAAACATTAAAAAAAAAAAAAAAAAACTTACAGTAGTTATATTTCACATTTTTACAGTGCTTCTGTACACTGTGTCTATCCTCTATTACAGATTACAGTAGCAGTATAATGTTTATCCTTGACTGTGGTGCAGATGTGTGTATGGTGTTTGAGGTACTTGGTCATCACCTGCTCAAGTGGATCATCAAATCTAACTACCAAGGACTGCCCCTGCCCTGTGTCAAGAGCATCATCCGACAGGTGAGGACAGGCACTCTGCAAATCAAGACAGGCAATAACTCAGATATACCTGCTTTTACCAAATGTACCACTTTAGACTTGACCTGTCTATAATGCACTGTATTAAGTGAGATTTATGTCATTTTTATATTTTGAACTTTATTTTTAATGTGCCCAAGCTCAGGTGGTAAGACCATTCTTTCTGCAGTGTTGGGGATTAGCTTCTACAATGACAGACTGCCACTGTGTTCATGAGCAAAACAGTCATCAGTTCTGTGGACATTGTTGTGTATATAAATGCTTGATTTTTAATTAATGTTTGGTTCCTTGAAATGAAGATACTAGAGGCATGAATGTAGAAAAAAATGTGGCTGTAATCAAAGCAAAATCACAATGTAAATGGATGTAATAAGGAAAGGCTGCATTTTGAAGTACCATTATTTCTTCCACAGACAACAAAATGTTTTCTACATAAAACCTGCTAACCCTCTACTTAAGTTCTGTTTGTCAGTTCATGTTTCAATCTTTTTGTCAATTTTCTTTTATGATTTTTAAATGAACTTTGAACAGAAACTCACAATTAGCTAGTTATCTATCGTTCAGCCCTAAATGTGGCCAGTTAAGGATTTTCTTTTTACAAATAGGAAGTTGAAATCAAGGCATTAGCCCTATCTTGCAACAGATCACTTGTATTGATTACTCACAGTTTTTTCCTAATTTCCTCCTTTGACTCATTTTGTTAACAAGTTTAAAAAGACAATGCAGTTTTAGCGTTTGTACACAGTTTTAACACATTTCTTGAACATATTGGCAGGATTAGACTTGAGTGCTGGTTGATGGTGAATTTCCCAGTTGTTTTTGTAGTTTTATGTGTGTTTTGTTTGGAGAGAGGGGTGTGGTGTGGGAGTTTTCTTTTTTTTTTCCCTTTTTGCTTGGTAATATATCAAAATAGAAAAAAAAAAGACAAAGAAAATAATTAAAGACAATGCAAGCAGATGCAAAAGAGTAATGTTGTAGTTATTGCAGATATTCACTATGCTTGAAATTAAGTTTGCCAGGCAAAGAACACATGTATTGAACTTAGACAAAATATTTGTCAGCAAAACCCACCTTATTACATTGCTCTAATATGCTTATCTTATATGTCTATATTTTGGGGCTCAATATTCATTGTGGGTACTTTTTCAACGCAGTAGTGTTTTTATGTAACTGCTAATAACAGCTTTTTAATGATACTGTATATTTAAAATTGGTTTATGGGATTATCCTGCTTTGTGATAAGGATGTAAAGTATTTTCATTATTATTGTTTATTGTTGTATTTCTCTGTAGTAATATATCATGCTTCAAAATTTATGACCGTGACAAGCTAATGTACATCAGCACATGGAATAGGCATGTTTGCAATGCCATTTTACAGTCCCAATATTAACAAAATTGCTTGTAATTTGAGACAATTTTGTGGTTTGCTTACAAATGATTCCAAAGTGGGGTAACCGCCTGCATAGCCTTAAACAGTGGCTGGTTTTGTGCTCTGTGCTCTGAGTCCTGTCCTCCTGAGACTGGGGCTTTCAGACATTGTCCCCTGAGCCACCGAAGGAGCCTGTGGAGCTCTCAGCCATTTAAGCAGCTGCCATTTTCAGCTTTAGAAAAATGCTGTAAATGAGAACTAATGAAATGGGGACTGTGATTATGAAACAAGCTCAGCACAGTATCACATGATGAAAGGTAACACTTGTGAAAGTTTAAAAATAAGTTCAGTTAGGGCTTAATATCGTTTTTATCAAGATCAAAATCCAGGCATGTGTAATAGTGAATCATTTTGGTCTTGGACAGGTCGACAGCCAATCCTCTGTCAATGAAAGCATGTGCTTTGGAGCAGAGACTGGAATAAATTGGGCTATTTTTGTGTTAAATTGTACTGATTAAAAGTCTGTGTTGTTTATGTTCAGAAAATCAGTATTGAATAGGAAAAAAATTAAATAGAAAATCAAGATCAACCAATATATGAGGGGGGAAAAACATGATTATTTTTTTGCTATACAGTTTTTGTCCAGCATTAAACATGTTCATTTGATTTTACAAGTTGTAGAAATGTAATATATACTGTACTATAATATATAATATTCTTAGTGCAAGACATTAATTAATTTTACATGGAAACAAATCCTATCTTGTTTAACTTAGATTTAAACTTTGGTAAGAATGCAAGACAATAATGAATGGGCATTTCATAGATGTGTAGACAGCTACAGTAACTATGCTTTATGTAACAAAATATGTTTTATCTGTAATGCAGGTGCTGCAGGGTCTGGACTATCTCCACACAAAGTGTAAAATCATCCACACAGACATCAAACCAGAGAACATCCTAATGTGTGTGGATGACACATTTGTGCGCAGAATGGCCATGGAGGCGACAGAGTGGCAGAAGGCTGGAGCTCCACCTCCGTCTGGGTCAGCAGGTAAGTACTCATGTGGGGAAAAACATGATATTTGGTGATTTCTTTTAGCTCGCAATCTTGAACATGAGGAGAGAAAGTCTAGTTTATTTGTTTTGAATCATCCAAACAATAAGGCACAATAGATATAAAAGTGAATGTGAAAGAAGTTACCAAAAACCCTCAACCCTCATGTGGTGACCTCTAGACTCATTTCAGAACTCAATAAAAACAAGGATGTACTGCTCGCTTAAAAGGAAATGCCATATGGAAAAGTGCAGTTATTCAGAAGCAGACATTTTACAGTGTTTTAACTGGACACTGTGAAAGCTCTATAAAGGAGGAGGGCAGACTGGTCCATATTTTTGATCCTCTGTATAGAACACTAAGCTGAGTTGTGCAAGAGTAGGGTGCTCTAATGAGTTGTCCACACGAGTGAGAACAAATGGTGCTGAATATTTCATTGATATTTAATTTCTTTGGGTTCAACTTCAGGTCCACATAGAAGGCAGCTGGGGACCTTCATTTTTACTTTTGAAAATTCTACTTTCATTAAATCCACTACCTCACAGTAACCATTCCTGCCCAACATCAAACAATTGTCTTACATGCCTTGAGATTTGCTTTGACATCAATTGCTGTGGTGTAAATGAGCTAGAATGAAAACTAGAGGCTCATGTTTAATAGAGTCGCTCACTAAAGCAATAGTTATTCTCAGTCTGTTGGTGCCACAAAAGCGTATCTTTCTCCTTTTCATCTTCTGCCTCCAAGTTGTGCCTGAAAAAGCCCCACTTCTTCTCGGAGACGCAGACCTGATAAACTTAGAATGAACCCTGTCCTCTATGCGAACCCCTGTAAGCTGTCAATTGCTTGCATCAGCCAATGGAGAGCCTCCGTTGTGCCTCAGGCTGGCCAATCGTATGGATTTGTGCAAGACTGAAAAGTTGTCAACTCCAAACTTTTGCACTGAAGGCACTGTACCTGATTTCCACTGTCTGAAAAGAAGGAAAACAGAACTAGTCCATTCATAGTTCAAAACTGTTTTCAGTGAGTGGTCAAAGTTTTTCCCCATTTACCTTAGGCATTCCACACATACGTGAGACCAGTGTGAAGTTATACTGTGACAGTAACAACTAGCATGCTAACACACAATTCCTGATTGTCGAGCAATAAAAATCTTTTCAGTTAGAGGCAGACAGCACACAGTGGTCTTATACTGACCTCATCAGCTACTTATACAGTATATCTGCACTGGGGCAAGAACATTTTTGCTCATAAGGAGAAAACTGGTTACAGTGCCTTTAATTTTGTATAGAAGAAAATGGACACCTAGCATCTTGATTTAAGGTCATCTTGAATTTGTATTGAATTTCAAGACATCTTAAACAGTTACACTGAAATGTATCTGTGACGTAACAATACATAAATAAATGTGTTGTTTGAAATTTCACAGGTATACATTACATAATAGAATAAAATCGTGATATGGTGAATTTTGGCTCTGTGACCAGGCCTAATGTCTGAATTATAACAACACTCTGATGACTTTTTCTTTGTGTCTGTCAGTTAGCACAGCCCCTCAGCTCAAACCGGTGAGTACGATTGATGTGAGTATAAAAAAGAAGCAAACTACACACACAAACATAAATGCAATCATGACAGAAACAATGCAATTATTCTATTACTCAGTACCTCCCCAGTTTTGCTAGAACTACTACTTCTTGTCAAGGGGTGTAGTCGACTGAAGAAATTCTCAGTTGACTAAAGACCTGCCCTGTGCATCGATTAATCAATTAAAAGTGGGCATGTTGTCAAAAATATTAGAAGCTTGAGCAAAAACTATGTATAAAGAAATATACTAGTAAATGGTATCATAAGTGAAAAGGCATTAAAATTTTCAGCTTTTTCCCATATAAATCTTTTTAATCCTGATTTAAATTGTTATATTCATGCTGAACCTGTATTGAACACCTTACCAGTAGGGTCAGAACATTTTTATTTTTGAGATTTGATTCATATTCAACTACTAGTATGTATTGTAAAAAGTACAATTATTGCATGTAGGCACAGTACAATACAATGCAATTTTCTTCAACCTTCTGCAACCTTCTTTTTTAATTTTATACTCCCACTTTTCCTTTAGAACTACAGCAATCTGTATACATGCACAGTATACATATATTTTATTTAGCATTTTTTGTGCTTAAAGGAACTGTGTGTACAATGTTTCTGTAAATAAGAATTAATCTGTGTTACAATTGTTATCAGTAAAAGCAATATTTGATTTGAGCATGTCTACCTTGAATATCGGAACCAGATATTAAAATCAAATACCAGAAGTTTTGGTTTTGAAATTTATATACAGTTTCTTTAAGTAATCCAATGCCAAGCACTCACAGACATTATTTATTTATCATTTAGACTTATTTAACATAAGACAACATATTGTAATTTTCTGTCTTTTAATCAAGTAATGTATTATTTTCTTTCTGCCCTTCATGTCTCTCATTGGTCTCTTTATAAATTTGTCAACAGATGGGTAAAATTTCCAAGAACAAGAAGAAGAAGCTTAAGAAAAAGCAGAAGCGCCAGGCCGAGCTGCTGGAGAGACGAATGCTGGAGATCGAGGCTTTGGAGCGAGAGGCAGAAAAGAAGGAGGAAGAGGAGGAGGAAGAGGAGGAGGGCAAAGATGGAGAGGAGAAAGGGTCCAGAGAAACCAACCGCGGGACCCCGGAGCAGACCGCACCAGCCCTGGGGCCCAGTATGGCTCTGGGAGAGAGTGATGAGGAGGATGAAGAGGAGGAGGAGGGAGAGGAAGATGAGGAGGAGGGAGTGGAGAGACCAACCAGGCTCACTAACCACACATGTGAGTGATTATCAATATGTAAAATACAACACATTTTAACTTATTGCCTAAATCTTCCAATAATTCTTGTAATATTTTTAGTCTGTCCACATGCTTAGATTCTCACCTGTATCTTGGCCTAGTTTTGCTTCTGCTTATCATCATGGAGATAGATGAGTTTAATGCTTTATTGTGGAACATTCCAAGTAAAGCAGCTTCATGGAGGCAAGTAGTTGATGGACCCCTCCACAAGAAAAGTTACACGGTGCATGTTTAAAGATTTCTTCCAACATTTCCAGGTGTTAAATTATTCACTAAAAACTTGAAAATAAAGGCTAGATGCATTTGTAATTTTTTCTAGAGATTCAGAAATGTCTAGACAGTTTGCTACACTAAACAATACATTTTCCCATGAATTATTAGTTTAAGTTGTATAATATGTATTTCATGTGTTTGTATTTGTTTGTATTTTGTCAATGCGTTAGTGTTACTGCTACTTCCATAAACTGCTGTAGGCTCTAGAATGATGCAACCTGCTGCAACCAACAGCTTCAACATACAATACTCCTTTATTTATGTATAACACAAAATGTTGGTGATTTTTGCTCAGATATAAATTCTGTTCTGAATCAATACCATTTTATTTTGAATGCTCAGCTGTAGCATCAGTGAGTATTTCTGGTTGGGGCAGATAACCAGCAGTCTATCTGTGAATGAATTGGAGGTGGATTGGCTCCAGCCCCTCCACCCACGCCCCTCCAACCCTCTATGGGCTGATTCATAAGAAAAATTTCCGGCATATTTCCCATAGTCTCAATCAGTCTTAGGTCCCCTTAAAATATATGCTTTTCCTTCTCCCACTCGTCTTTTCAATTCTATATCTGAATCTCACAATTTTTCTCCAGGTTTGTCACTATGCTATGTTTTTGGACCAATTAAATCTTACAAAAGACAGGCATAATAAGGTTTACTTAAAAAATTTAATAAAAGTTAATAAGATATATAAGATTTTTGTCTTTGTCATCAGAAAAGAAGTACATTTTGTTGGAGCATCAAAAACTGCATAGTAATGATGCAAAGGGCAATAAAAGGTGCAAGACCCAGCCTCATAAATAACTGTGTAAATGATAGCAAAATAATAATATTCAGTGCAGACGCACGTTATAAACAGTAACTGATTTAGAGGCAGTACAGTGTCAGGCTGTCAGTGTACAAAAAATTGCCCTTGAAAGAAATTAATAAAATATATTAACATGTTTTAAAATGATTATACAATTTAAGTATTGTTCCACAAATCATAAAAGGAAATATTATCTAGTCTTCTTTTACCTTTGTCTGCACCAATAACAATAACAATCCTTTTACCCTTCTAAAATTTAAATTGTCTGTGTTGTCTAAAATACCACATAAAACAATTGGCTATAACAGAAAGAACAAATCTGAGGTGAAAAAATGTATAGTTCATCTCAGCTTTTTTAAAGTGCATTTATCAGGAAATTGCACAAAATTACTTTCAACTCAGAAGACCACAGAAGCTTATTCCATCTTTACCACCACTCCAAATTATTATTTTTCACTGGAGTACCATTAAAAGCGGGGGTAGATGGACATACTGCATTATTTAAAGCCCATGACAAGATATTGCATTTTTGTGGGTCACCAGACCTTAAATTTTTTAACATCTTTGTTTCTCAGGTGCACAGCCACCAGAGGACGATAATGAAACCACTCCTGTCCGCGACATTGACGAAGACCCTACAGAGGAGGAAGAGGAGGATGAATCCACGCCTGTAGCCGAAAAAGACCCTCCAATCCCCCCTCAGTCTGAAGAGGACAATGGAGATGCACCACAGATCGAAGAAGAGGAGGAGGAGGAGAAGGAAGAGGAAGTACTGAACAACACCGAAGACGAAGAGGAGAAAACTGATGAGACTAAAGATGATGATACGGAAAAAAGTCTAGGAGAGGAACCAAAGAGTGAGAACAGGACAGAGGAGACAGGAGATGAGGAGACAAGGGAGCAGGATGCAGAGGAAGAAGAGGAGGAGGAAGGTGAGGAAGATGGAGATGAAGACACAACGGCAGATCTTCTCACAACCACAGACTTACTGACAGACAATTCCCCAGTCAAGTACAACAACAACAAAAGTAATCTGGCTAAGACGAATGGCCACGTGTTGCTAGGTAATGAAGGACTCAAAGTTGGTAGTGGGACGCCTCCCCCTCCCTCACCCACCCCCGAGCCTCTACTCTGCCCCCTAGTGGAGTCAGAGCTCAGTTACACAGACAGGGACCAATCCCTAAGTTCAGGTTATGAGTTGTACAATGGAGAGTTGACAGAGACAGCTTTGACTAATGGTTCATCCAGTGAGAGACATAAAGCGACGATACCCCTGTTCCCCGACCTGCCCCTGGATCCTGAACCGGGAAACCCTATATCTGAGGCAGATATCGGAGCAGAGCCGACACCCAATAGCCCCACAGCCGATCGCAGCCGCACTGTGTCGTCTTCTAGTACCGGAGAAACACCCAAAGGTGGGGAAATGTGACACTAATGGCTTGTCTAGTCAGTCACGTGATTAATTACATATGCAAATAACATCTTGGCTTTTGCAGGTGTAGATTTTTACAGTTGTATTAAAAACAATCATTTCAAATTGTCAATACTAACAGTTCAGAAACAAAATACCTCTATAGTTAGATTAAATTAAACTAAACGCTTTGGGGTAAAGATTACTACATTACATGAAAATGTCTTTATATAAAATGTGATTTTTTGTTAGATTTTAACAGTTGAAGATCAATTGATTCTTTGTCTTTTATGCAAAATCATATTAATTATTTTAGCTTTTAACCCACTTCTTTAAATTCTACCAATTCTATCTGCTGGATACTTAGAAACTGGATAATTAGAACAAAACATATACTATTTATCATGACTGCCGGTGTGTTTTTTGTTTTGTTTTTTATTATAGCTCCAGATTACTTTATTTATTTAGCACATTTTAGAAACATAACAGTTTCCAAAATAAGAAATGATAACAACAAGAAAGAGTAAATGAAATTATAAAGACAAAGCATTAACATACATAAAAACACTAACAAAAGCTTAGTTTAGCCTTAGCCTAATTTCATCTTTTAGCTCTGTATCTCTATTGTCTATTGAAGCTATTGTCTTTCTCCCACCCTGTCTGCTTCAGTCAAAGCTCGAGCAGCTGATCTGCTAATAAACCCACTAGACCCACGCAATGCCGAGTCCATCCGCGTGAAAATCGCTGATCTCGGAAATGCCTGCTGGGTGGTAAGACACACTATCACACTATTAACTGTCAATATTAGTTAAAAAGAAAAAAAATTAACAATAAATACAAATCAACTTTTAAGTTGTTTTACTTTTTGTCTCATTTTAGCACAAGCACTTTACTGAAGACATCCAGACAAGACAATACCGGTCAATTGAAGTACTCATAGGAGCTGGTTATAGCACTCCAGCGGATATCTGGAGTACTGCCTGCATGGTACACAAAATACATACAATAAAATGCAATAGTTGTAGTACAAATATTTCCATAGAGTCTCATGTAGTTGCTTTCTTTCAGGCATTTGAACTGGCGACTGGGGATTACTTGTTTGAACCCCACTCTGGCGAGGACTATTCACGTGATGAAGGTGACTATCTTTTTTTAACATCATAAAAATCAAATTGTCCTAGATTTCAGGCTTCTGCTTGAATTGTGTGATTATAAATTATTATTGGTTATTATGAATATAGTTTTTTGATTATAAGTTGATGTAGAAGAATTTATAGTGCAATAGAAAGACTACAAATAGTGTGGTATTTAGCAATTAGCATAAAGTGCCAGCCCTCCACAAACCCTCCTGTCCACTGCCAACTGTAAATCTGATTCGAACTGCCTCTGCACACCTTTGCTGTTCACTGTCACTGTCCTTTCTTCTTTATTATACAACAATATATTAAAGGTCCTATAAAGCGCAATATTGACTCTTGTGAGTTTTAAGATGAGTTATAATCTGTTTACATCAATAAAACATACCTGAAGTTGTGTTTTGTTTCATTCACTTATGTTTGAGTAACTCTTTATTATTGGGCTGTCTCCATCTCCAAAATTCAGAGTGCTCTGTTCCTCCTTGTGATGTCATAAACTGGTAGTTTTCAAGTTAATAGCTGCCTTTTACTTTTAGTTCAGCAGAGACTGTCAATTACAGGGCTGAAATGATCCAAATGATTCCAGTGAAGTGTGTATGAATTTTAAAACACAGAGGAGTACTTCTTGTATTGCCACATGACATCACAAGGTGGAATGGAACATTTTCTGTTTGAGAGAAGAACTCAACCTAAATATGCAGGGTGTGTGTTAAACATATGTGAATGAAACAAAACCCAACTCCAGGTATGTTTTTGATGAGGAAACAACATTATAACATGGATCAGAAAAAAGTGTAATATGAGCCCTTTACGATAACTTATTGTCTACTACTAAATAGCAGTAAATGTAAAATAGACTCAAATAAGGAAACAAATGAGCACATGAAGTCTATACTCTATTACATCCAACTTTCCTTGGATATGTAAAAATTGTGCGTACTACCACTATTATTGAATTTCCTCCATAAGGATCATAGAGTAGTGAAAATACTTAATTTATTTTTGGTCTCTGTATATTACATCATACTTGTGTTAAATAACTTGATTTTATGCTCCTCATTCCGTTGGAAAACTCCACTGCATGGTTTAGCTGCATAACCAATCATCCAGACACAGAAACAGCTTCTTTGCCTAAAAATAGCACAGGGGTCTGACTGCATCTTGTGATTCTCTATTAATACACATTTTATACTCCTCATAACTGCATTTATTGTATTAGCTTTACTTAAGATTTGACAGCCCATTTTATCTCTCTGTGCATACTGTTTATTGATAGTATAAGATCTTCAATAACAGTTGCTTTGCATTTCTAGGATCTGGTTAGGTTATTGACAGATAGAAGATGATGCACACTGTACATGCTGCAATTTAAAGGTGCATTATGTTACTTATCCCACTCGTATCCATGGAGATATTATTGCTTTCCATTGAATATTCCACAATTGGGCATTAAACTTGTCTATCTTACATGTACTCAATTGTTTTCAGTGCTTAAAAAGTCCTTGAAAAGCATGTTTGCTGTGAACGGGGTCGCCGCTTCACAGATATGGCTTGTACCTTTTCCTGGCATTTTCGCCTGCTCTTCTCATTAAGAAAAGTTAAATGCCATACTGTGGAGCATTCCAAGCAAAGCCATAACTCTTCATGGAGACAAACAGGTGGTGGACCTCCCATCAAAAAAGTATTGCACCTTTAAATTTTCAATATATTTGAAATGAATGTATATTTTAAACTTTTTTGAACACATGCTATCTTTTCGAACTATAAGCATCTCATTTCTGCTCTGGATTCAGATTTCACTAACATATTTCTCTCTCCTCTTCCCCTCTCTCTCCTCCCTTCGTTTCCAATCCATTTTTATATTTCCTATAATCACACCGTTGCACTACTTTTCCATATTTTCTTCTGTATTTTCCTATGATATTCCTCCGTCCATGCCCTCCCCACCCTGTCTCCTCTCAGACCACATAGCCCACATCATAGAGCTCCTGGGCTGCATTCCAAGGCACTTTGCTCTCTCTGGAAAATATTCCCGGGAGTTCTTCAACAGACGAGGTAGTTCTGAGCAGCAAGTAGCCACCAGAGCCGGGGTGCACTCATATTTAACATACTAGGGATACAACTGGAGAAGATGTACGCTAAAAATATATGCAAAAGTACTGGTTTAACAAAGCTTAGTGTTTATATTGATCTAGGTTAGTCCAACATTATCTAGACTTTAATATAACTAAATTTAACTTAATTTAACTTAGTTAAGACTTGGTTTACTTATTGTTACTCTTACATTATCTGTAGTTCTTGGAGGGTTAGTTTAGTCCTGGTTGGTTAAGACCTGGGTCAGACCTGATTTTAAGATCATTGTTTAGTCCTGGATAAGACCTGATTAAGTTAATGAGCCCAGTTTAGTCCTGATATAAACTTGGTTTGGTCCTTTTCTACCCTGGTTTAGTCCTAGTTTATTCCCAATTTTAATAGTATGGATGGTATACTAATTTTATGGAGACCTGCCTCCATTATGGGACAAAAACCAGGTCTCTATGATGTAAATCTTTTATTATTACAGTCTCCAGGAAATTGAAATGCAAGTTAGTGTAGTTCCCAAGATCCATGGAAACTCAACATTAGTGTAGTAAGTTTTGTTAGACCTTCCAAACCCTTAAAATAAATCTTCAACTTTGATGTAGCTTTCGTCCCTGGTATCTTAAGCATTGGTGCAGCCCGCTCCATACAGCTAAAGGGAGGTGTGTGTAGTTGATGTGAGTTGCATGTTGAGATGCTGATCCGTGTTGACCCGTGCCTGCCCCTCTGTGATGTCTGCTGTTTGTTTGGTGCCCGGGACAGACCACATCGCTCTGATCACGGAGCTCCTGGGAAAAGTGCCCCGCAAAGTGGTGGCTGCCGGGAAGTACAGCCGGGAATTTTTCTCCAAGAAAGGTAAACCACGTTGGCCCTAAATGAGAGGTGTTTGGTCTGGACACTGGACAAGGCAAGTAAGGCCTACTTTGAAAATTAGATAGATTCTAATAGGTAGAATGTCAGGTTTCACACCAATAGACAAGTTTGTATTAGTCACAAATCTAAATAACAAATCTAAGGGTGTTTTAAATAAACTTGTATATCTATCTACAGTACATGTTGATAACGGTTCATTATGTAACTTTACTGGTGGAGGGTATGTCACCTGCTTGTCTCATGCAGTTGTTGTTTCTTTGCTTGATTGTTCCATAGTGTGGCATTAAACTTATCAAACTCCTTGGAGACAAGCATGTAGACTTTATTGCATTTGCAGTGCTACATGCCATGGAGTTTGATAGGATTAATGTCATACTTAGGTACATTACAGGTATGCCACCATCTCCATGGAAACTAGCAGGTGGCGGGTCCTTCACCAGAAAATCACCAGAAATACTTACCGATAATTACCAGGAAAGGCATCTGACATAGATTTAATGCCAAATTATTATGCATCTCTTTGCCCATTACAAAGCTAACATACAGTATCTGTTATTATTGGGCAAAGTTTACATAACTTCACTTCTTTCCTCTATCCAGGGGTTTCAGGACCGTTGCCATAGCGATTAAGTAGCAATTAGTAACTAATTATACACAGTGAATAACAAATTATCTTTTTCAATGGTGAGGTTAGAAGTTGGATTTTGTTGAAGTCAGAGAAGTTTAGATTGTAGCATATAGACATACAGTATTCAGTCCTCTCCGATGCTCTGATGTTCCTCTGTGGTAAGGCCTATGGTAAGTCTGTGTGTGTGCGTGATACGGCTGGTAACCCTTACACCCTATCATGGATTCTCTTTCTACCCTGAGCCTATCTCTTCATATATTCTTCATAAAGAGTCATGAGCTCTGAATATTCTGCCTTTGATGTTGTCTGTATCCGAGGTCTGGGCCTACACTTGATGTCTCAATGCTCCTCCTTTTATCACCAAGCTGTCTGTTAATCTAACTTGACTGCTCCTTCTCTCCCTGGGTTCTCCTGTCTGCCATGTTGCCTCCAGTGTCATAATATAATGTGTAATATTCTATACAGTGACGATAACGCAACCATAGAGGACACTTTTGTTAATCTAATAAATCAAATTGCTCAAATTGCTACCAAGAAAGAGCCGTATGAGATCAATATGCAGTACATTCTGACCAATCAGAGTGCTGGAGGTTGCCATGGCAGCTGCATTTCATTCAAACTGGACTTTGATGATTTTTTTCCCTGCTACTTTTCTTTCAGTTTTCTCTCATTAAGGTCCACTGTGTAATTTTTCTGGTCAAGGATCCACCACCTAGTTGTCTCCTTGGAGATGTTACTACTTTACATGGAATGTTCCACACTGTATTGAATGTAAAAAGCAAATGTACAGGACAGATTATTAAATCAGATACTACGGAACATTCCAGGCAAAGCAATAACATCTCCATGGAGGTGGCATATCTTTTACTAGAAAAGCTTCAGAGTACACCTTTAATTCATTACAACTTTATTATGTTTTGTCAATAATTATACACTAACATCTGAGGTGAAATTGTTGAAAACAGGCTGGATGGATAATCTGTTGATTCAACATTTAAGTGGCTTTCTCACTTTTACTCATCTACTAAATTGTATTCATTTTAGATTTAAATCAAAGAATGTGTAAAATTTGCTTTGATTTGGGTGCTTTTTAATTGATAATACCATTTTGGAAAGAAAATGATTTGTGCAGTTCTTTGAGGAAGGGCATCCGATTTAAGCACAAACGTCATCTTGCAGTAACAACCGACCCGTCTGGCCATCCGTCTGGCCTGTACAATCTAACATCAACTCTGCATATTTTCTCTCTATCTGATTTCCTTTTGCTGATTAGAACACCTGCAGGAAATGGTGAACTAATCAGGGAAATGACTGTGAGAATAACTAACTGAAAACTTTACTGTTATGGCATTATGTATGGGTCACTTCAAAGTAACACATGTATCTGCACTTTCACCACTTCTTATACTTCTGCACCAACAAAAAAGACACCAAAATACAATTCTGTTTTGCAGTACTGGCTTAAATGGTTAGCACAGTGTTATTAGTTAAAAGTTGGGGGTGTAATTTGGTGGACATCTGGTGGTCAAATTGTAGATTGCGTTGTGGCAAAATGGTACAGTCCACTTCCCACAGCCTCTTCAATCTAGACGTAAGTGGCACCTATTTAAACTTGGAATGGACAAGATGTTTTCCGTGAACTGTATCGAGCAATGCGTTATTTCAAAATAAAATGAGAATTAATCTAATCTCATTGTAACAAATTGACATTTATTTTTAAATAAAATAAATTTGGTCAACTATTATAACACTTTTTTTTTACAGTTTTAATGAAAACATCATATTATAAGTAATTTTGATTTTGAAATCATATGGTGCTGCCACAATTTTGGTCTAGCACTATGTAACTTTTTTGGTGTAGTATCCAGCACATGCTTGTTTCCAAGTTACTGTTTTGCCTGGAATGTTAAATAATGTGGCATTAAACGCATCTTGCATTTATTTACTTACAAGTGATTTTTATTGCTAAGAAGTAACACATTTGAAGGTCAGTAATCTGTCTCTCGATAGAGATAGACAGATTATACTGCGGAACATTTCTCACAAAGCAATAATATCTCTATGGAGACAAGCAGGTGGAGGACTATCCATCAGAAAAGTTTTGTATTGCAACTTAAAGAAAAACAACAAAAAAATATTAACATGTTATACCTAAAGTGGAAGTGACCCATACATCACAGGTGCTGCTATCCTACGCTGAAATGATTACTAACACTATTCTCTGTCGCTCCCTGCAGGCGAGTTACGGCACATCACCAAGCTGAAGCCCTGGTCACTGTTCGACGTCCTGGTGGAGAAGTACGGCTGGTCGCATGAGGACGCTGGACACTTCACCCACTTCCTGTTGCCCATGTTGGAGATGGTCCCTGAAAAAAGGGCCTCAGCTGGTGAATGTCTCAACCACCCCTGGCTCAACTCATAGCCCCCAAAAAAAACTCCAAAAATCTTCCCCTTTTCCCTTAAAAAACCCTGTTGTAGACTGTGAATCAAGACTATCTATCTGTGCTTAAATGTGTAGGCTGCAGCTCTACCCATCATACTTTCCCCAAGAGGAATGTAAAGGTATGCACCGAATTGACTCAGAAGTGGGGTCTTCCAATGGTTATGACATGGATGGTAGTGAATGCTGCTGTTTACCCACAATGCAAAGGGAGAAAACTGTTTCAAACCACATATATTTCAGTTGTGCCGTCAAGATGCCAGCAAGCCACTTCCAGTAGTAAACTCATCTATTAAAAGTCATGGACCTCTCAACTTTACAGTGACAATAAAAGGAAATTCAAATCTTCACTAGAGCTCCAGCTGCCTCAGAATATATATAAGAAAAAAAAAATCTGTGTGGGGAAATTGTAGAGTGCCTGACTGTGTAACATTTTTCCTCTATATCCGAACTAGTAGCCTGAATCCAAGCTTGATGTGGAAATGCACCCACTTCAGATTAAAGTTTACACCTAAAAAATCTTTGTAGTCCTGTTAAGCGATTATCAAGAAGTCCCAAGCAAGTGATATGAAGCCTGGGGACTGGGAACTTGTTACTCTGATAAAGGTGCAAAATAAAAAGAATATACAATCAACTTACACGGAGACACAGTTCGGTCTTTAAAGAGACTACAAAATGCATGGATAAAGACTGGTGGAGTGGCATGAACGGATTTGGTAAAATGGACAATAATGTTATTTAATTTATGCATTTCATTCCTGTTTCATACTTCTTAAAGGTATTTGTTAAAGAGGCACTGTGTAACTTTTCTGGTTGAGGGTCGGTCACCTGCTTGTTTCCACAGAGTAGTTATTGCATAGCCTGGAATGTTCCCCAGTATGGCATTAAACCTAGCATTATCTAATTGATTAGAGATAAGCAGATGGCATTATCAGGCCAGGTTACAGGTTTGTGGAGAGACATTAAGACTCAGTTTTTCAAAAAACATAAAATAAATGTTTGATAGATTTTAGGTTTAATGGCATAATGTGGAAAATTACATCCAATGCCATAACATCCCCACAGAGACAAGAAGGTAGCGGACCCTCCACCGGAAAAGATACATACTGCGAGAAGGATTTCATCGAATGCTCTTTCTCATGTGTAATCCTGTACCTACGTCATCCCAGATTTTTGTTTCCTAGTTTATTCTGGCTATTGCCCTTTTTTTCCCCCATTTTTGAGAAACTTTTGAGCTTCTTCTGAGAGGGGGCGATCACAAGGAGGTTGCACTTGTATTTGTAGATGTCCTTCAGGGATTTCAAACATTTGTACATAAAAAACTAGCGGCGCAAATAAGTGACTGTGAACAAACGTTTTTCAACACACAAACATCATTCCAAAACAGAGACTTTGTTTAATTTCTCTGCTGCAGCGGGAGGGGGCGCCATAGCTCAGGCCTGGAGGAATGTTGACATGAACTGTGCCCCCTAGTGGCGGTGCGAGAGTACTGCTGCTGCTCTCAGTGCCAACGCTCCAAAAAGACGTTCTACCATATCTCCACTTATTCAGTATTTCTTGTTCTCACGCATACACAAAAATGGTATCATAGTTAGTCCAGTTGCCTATTTTTCGCAATAAAGAAAAAAGATGAGTATAAGTAAATGGTGAAATATTTTTAAAAGCTATTTAATTCATTAAAAACAAAAGAAAAAAAGAAGACATTTTCTCTGGTTGTTGTGACCGTGGCAGAATTTTGTCTTATACTGAGGTGATTGTGTTTGTCTATTAGAGATGTTTTATTTCTTTTGTCATTAATATTAATTATTATTATTAATAATATTACAACTTTTTTTTTACACAGTTGTCACCTCTCCCCTCCCTCCTTACTTGAACAGTGCTGCTCTGTTTGGGCTCTCTATGGTGAAATAAAAATAATCAACAGTTTTGCAATAAAGGCACCAAAACTTCCTGATTTGACTATTTTGGCTACAATCACATCTCACATGATTTAAATCAGCAATTGTAAATTAATCATAAAAATATATATATAAAAAAATACCCAATGTTGGATAATAGCATATTCTATTTATTATTATTACATTTAAATCCTAATATGTGTGTAGTGTATGTTATTGCACATTTTAAGAACATTAATTTGAAAATGTCCAACATATATGGAACAGAGCTATATAAAGCACCTTGAAAACTCTTATTAACCACTAAAAATATCTGTATTTATTTACACATCTAAATGTACTCATTACCCTTTTTTAATCACATAACATCTGAAGCACTTACAGTAAAAATGTACTTATTTATTTGCAAGGAACACTTTATGGACAAGCGTGAAAATCATAACATGTTGAAATGGCTGAAATGAGGTATTTAAGGTAAGTACATTGTAGAGTTCTATCTGATCTAATCCTAACCGTTGATTATGTCAAGTATTTATGGCTCAGAGAAGTGATGAATAGTTTTTGATGAGCATTGGTTTAGCCAGTTCCAGGATGTCCAGGTTTGGATCCAGAGACCTGCCCAGTCCTTCCAGTACCATGATGGCAAACACAATGGAGGCAAAATTACTCTCCAACTTTACCTATGGCAGAACAAAAATGTGTTCATAAAAAAAATTATATTAAACAACAAAAGCATTTTTGACTTGTACATCTAAGCCTATAAAGTTTAATTACTGTTTTTCAGTCAAATTCATTTCTCATCTCAAACACATCAGCAGTCTTCTTTGACTAAATACCCTGACTGCATACAGTCACAAAATTGTGCTTACTTCAATGGCATTTTATTTGAAAGATTTTTTTATTGCGTCAATTAAAGGTAGAGCATTACCTTGTGTTTGATTAGCAGACCAAAGACTCTGGAGAGCAGGTCAGCAACTTGAATCTGCAAAGCAATTACTATTTAGTATTCCATGGTCACTGAAACTTTGACATTTTAAACATTTTAAGTGTCCTATTTTTACCTTTCCTAAAGCGAGTGTATTGCTGAGGGCATGATCGACAAGCTGGGCCATCTCCTTTTTAAACAATGGGATGTCCTGACATTCATTGGCCCGGGCATGATGTAGGATCAAATCTGCTACCTTCTCACCCTACAAAATATACAGTACAAACTATAACTTTCCAAACAAGAATTTTCAGGGAATTCACCTCAAATACAAGACAATACAGGAATACTTAAACATACTGTGCCTACATGAATCCATCAAAATACAAATATGAATAAGCCATTTATGATGATAAACCATTATAACATGGTCAAAAGTCAATTTTGTATCATATGTCTCCATTGTGTTACATATTATTTTGTTAGTAGAGTTTTACATTATAATCACAAAAAATAATCATAATTTCATTGTAATGACTTAGTACCTGACGCATTACCACAGCGGTAAAGACAGCCTTGAAGTTGGCACGGTCGTGTTCACTGAGCTGGGACACGATGCCAGCGTCCAGGAGGACCAGCTGAAAAGGACTGGGGTTTGGTCTGACACTGACCACCACAGTGTCCCACAGATCTGTCAGGGTGGTTTTACCCTGGGCCTCCCCTGAAATTTCACTGGACCCAGGGGAGGGTGCTCGAGACTGGACCAGGATGTTCCCAGGATGAAGGTCGCCATGGACAAAGTTGTCCACAAACACCTACAAAAGAAAAAGAAGTAGTAAATTGGAAGTATAGTACAAAGCAATAGTACGGTCCAACACACAGCACTGGACAACCCACCAAACCAAAACTATAATGTGTTTAAATTAATGATTTTATTTGAGTTTAGAGTTAGAATCTTAACTTTGAATACAATTCCTAAAATGCATTCTAAGACCCCGAAACTGCAATAAAAAAATAAATAAATAAATAACAGTATTATCTTACCATCTTTAGCAGTGTATCCACACCCATCCTTGCTATTTTCTGCTTTACCTCTACTGGAATATCTGACCTCAAATAGATTGATATAGGCTCACTTTCCTGGGAAATAAATATGTTTATAATAAATATAAATGATAAATGAATCAATTATAGTATGCATTAGTTAAATAGTGGTTTATAGATGTTTACACTCACTTCAAAAGTTTCTACTAAGATGGTCCTGGTCACAAATGGTCGGAGTGGTGTGGGAAACTTGACGTATTCCACGTCACGGAAATTCTGCCTGAAATGCTCCATGTTTTTAGCTTCAAATCTGAGATCAATCTAAAATAGAGAAGCTCGGTCAATGGCTCCTTAAAATGACCTGGCATTTTATTTCAAATCATTAGTGTATTCTCACCTGTTTGGTCATGAGCTTCTCAAATTCCTCCACTATTTCGTACAGACTGAGCCACTTGAGTCCAGGCAGATGGTCCAGAATCCAGCTGCCAGTTTTCATCAGCAGCAGGTCGATTTCTACTTGTCTCCTGACTCCTGGGTGTACAACCTAAAATATGGAGAAGTGATATTACAGAGCAACTAGTGTAAATACAGTATTTAAGAGGAGACTTTTTCCATATACAAGCAAAAAAAACACTTCTACTTTAAATTACATTATGCAATAACATGACATTGTATCAGCAACAACTGTGATCCTTTAGTTATCATAGTTACAAAGGGTTGGAGGACTTTTTGTGTGGTTAATATTAATCTAATTGTTGAGCATAACTGTCCTTTACAAATACAGTAATTTTAGCACTACAATTCTAACATTTGTCTCTTTATGACAAATGGTAGGTTAGTGGACGATAATTATGTTTATTGTTCTCCTAATTCTAAGTTGCAAAGTGTTTTCCCATCCATCACTTACCTTTATAGCTACAGGTATTAGGTTCTCCTTCTCGGTGTGCGTGTCCTCTCTCCACCACACCATCTCCCCCTTTTCCTCTTCTGCTCTGCCTGACCAAATCCTCTTCAGTAAGCCAGTCACGCCCCTCAAACCCGGAATCTCCCAGGCCTCCAGCAGATCCTCTTTGTCTCTCTCCTCCACCAGTGTCTGAAAGTCTGGGTCCTCTACTCTATCTGCCCTCGCCCATCCTCTGTAGACCTGTGCAACACAACCAGAACCAACTGGCTCCTTGCTCTGAAAAACAAAAACCCTCTTCCATTCTTCCCCGAAAGCACGACGAAGGCATTGCTTGGTGTGGGCCCACGAGTGAGGTCTAACTTTGACGTGCAATCTGGAGAACCGATCACAGAATTCTTTTGGAAAAATATCCCTTCTGGTGCTGGCCCATTGTCCAAGTTTGATGAAAGTTGGACCAGAAGTTTCAGTCATCCATAGCAACATATCCAGCCATTTGGAGCTCCAGCGAGAGGAGACAAGCATCAGAGGGGAGAGGAGTAAAAGTGGGCCAAATTTGAGAAGAAGAACCAATGCTCTGAAGCTAAGGCGAAGGAAAAATATTAGTTTATGCACCTGTACCTTGGCAACTGACCTTCTCTCAGTGATGTTTGGTTTTATAAGTGTTGCTTCCTGGCATCTTGCTGCGTAAGATGACACACTGACTGCACCACAGCATATCAGAGAAACCTTGGGTAAGTGAATTAAAATAGGCCTCCTTTTAACAAGACATGTCCTCCAGTTTTGATAGATTTTATTTAATAAACAGGACTTTTGAATTGGGTTTTTTAAGTTGAGGAAAGCCCTGGCTCCAAAAAGCAACGCCATGTTGTCCAAGTGTATCAAGGTTATCACTACGATGAAGCTACATAACATAAATATAAGCACGTCCCCAGAAAATGTTGGATTTTCATCACAAAATCAATAGCAGGTGACCTAACGCTACCTGCTAGTCTTGTGCAAGCTCATATCTTATTGCTTTTTTGACTCTATTTCCGGGCCGATGAAAAGCTGACGGTGGCTTATTTCTTCTCCGGATCAATAAACCCTTTCATTGTTTGCATGGTGCTGTGCTGGATGAAAAAAATATGTAAAAATTCATTCAAAACAAAACAGCCATAAAAATTTGCAATGACATCCGCTTTACTTCCGCATTTGACGAGTCACACTCACACACGCAGGAGTCACGTGTCCACCACGACCAATTAAAATGTTCCGAAAGTGATTTTACCAAACATCTGCCTTTTATTTTATGTTTGAATTGAATTTGGTAAAGCAATTATTTGCTAATTTAACTGGACTGATCTGATTGTTCATTTAAACTTTTCCAAAGAGAAAACGTGTTTATTAAATCTTGCAGGATCCTGACTTGGCCTGGAGATGGAGACATATTGCATATTTGGATGTGGAAAATGTACTCATGATAATTTTTCATGCACATTCACCTCAGCTTGGGTCGAAACATTTTGGAACGTGGAATACTGAAACTTTCTGTGTGAATGTGGTGAACGCGTGTGGTCTTGGTCTGTGGTCTCCTGCAAGCCAAGAGTAAGTCTGCTGGGGTCAGACCCATGGGGTAAGAATTTCGTAAAACAACTAAAATAAAAATGAACTTTTATTTTTTTTTTAATATAATAAAATAAAGATAATAATAATTCAGCCACCATAGTAATGAGAATTTCCTTGTACCAGCATTGTGCAACAGAATGATTAGAAACATATGTTATATGCCAGAAGCTAAATGGCCGGTACTAGCTTCATTTACCATGCCACGTTTCTTTAAAATATGACTCTGAAAATAGCAATGCAATATATAGTCGTGTATGTTAATACTGCATTCTCGTTATCATCTCGTTGTCATGACCGCCCATGCAGTGCTGGCTTGTTCCTCTGTCCTGTCATATCATGTGCGCTCCCAGGGTTCTAGCTGAAGCCTTATTGGAGTCTTAACGACACAAAAGGTGGGATAAACGCCAAGCAGATGTTGTGGTCCCCTCCCTCCCTCCATGGGCTATTGATAGAGAAGCCTGGCCTTTCAGATCAGTGCTGCATTTCAAAGCAGGGGTCAGGGTTTGGGTTCGGAGGGGTCAGCAGGAGAGATATGCTTAAGTTCTGCTGTTACGATATAAAGGTAAGTGCACAAGGGGACATTGTGATAGGCTTCACGGTAGCTACACATCTGTAGCTACACATCTGTCTGTTGTGGGAAACAACACATAGACCCCAATAGCTTACCTTTTCAGGAGGATTATTCACACATTGAAGCAAGCACAGTTAAAGGTGCACTAGGTAACTTTTCTAGTGGAGGGTATGCCTCTTGCTTTTCTAGATCTTATTGCTTTGCTATGCTTGGAATGTTCCACAATGCATCATAGAACATATCTATCAGTAAGAATGCATGTTTTTCAAGATAGTCTTGAGCAATAACACTCTTGTTATTGAGAAAATATAAGATAAATAGGTTTAATACAATTGTGAAGCTTTACAGGCGAAGCAATACCATCTTCATGGAGACAAACAGGTAGGGGACCTCACACCAGAAGTAACAAAGTGCAAATCTTTCTGAAGATTTTCCTAAATAAAATTATTGATTTCAAGTTGAGTTGAACAGCACAGATTTCAAAACACATGGCAAGTGGTACACCTTTCTGTTGTTTCTTTACAACCATCTTTTTCAACTGCTGACGCTTTTTATTTAAGATAAAAACCTTACACTTTATATAACATAATGATGCTGATTTTTAACTCTGTTTGGAGCACAATTGCAATGGAATTTCATTCTGCATATACACTTGTGTATCTGAATGACAAAGTGTTTCTAAGATTAAGATCAAAGCATGATTTTACAATCCTAAATTTGTGTGTGGGTAACCCTATTAAGTAGCTTTCATTTACTTGAGTCTTGTTACAGTTTATGAGATTAGTCATCACCATTCATGCCACGCTTCTCTTCTTTTCACTTTCTCTTGAGCAGTGAGTAACTCAGAGGAGCAAATGCCAAAAGGGAGTCAGTTTGTTCTCAGACTCAGATCTGATTTTAACACACAGCGAAGGTGAGGGACAAACTTAAATATTTTACTGTAGTTCTACCAGTATGTTACAAAATGGCCTAAAACATGCTAACTTTTCCATTTAGTTAAAATAAGATAAAGATACATTGGAAATACATTTGATAAAGAAGCTTTATCAAGGTAACGAGGTAACGAGCATACTACTACTTCTACCGCTATTACTATTACTACTACAACTACTATTGCTACTGCCACTACAACTATACAAAACTTCATTGGTACAAATATTCAGTCCCTTTGCACCTCTGACGCAGCTATAATCGTAATTTCTGTACATTCTTGTTGTTTGTTGTGAACCAGTAAACAAGGCCTTTGGAGATACAACTTCGGAGCATGTTGTCCCATCTTGAGGAAGATTGGCCCTAGAGCTAGTTTAATTGCATCCCAGTGGAGTCTGTTATGTATCCAGTTTGTTCTACTTGGCTTTGCCCCTTCCTGCTTCATTCCTGATTTTCTTTTTTTTTTCCCCCTCTCTTTTCTCGGACAGGACACTTTGGTTCCCCAGGCAACTCCAATCACTCGGGCCAGCTGCAGATTAGTTCAGAGGCAGCGGGGGGTGAAGGTGGGTGGGACAGGGGGGTAGAGAGAAAGAGAGAGGGGAAGAGAGGAGAGAGGGAGGAGAGAGCAAGACAAGGGGAGGGTAGTATTTGGACGGAGGAGGGCTGTGAGAAGTTTGCAGCCAGAGAAGAAAGAAAGAATGTAACTTAGAGTTAGCGTCAACGTAGATAGAGTGACAGTTTCTTAGCAGTGTGAAAATAAGTTGGACAAGGACTTTCTGTGACGTTTTGGGTTTTGTTGTTTTTTTTACTACTATTTTTCAGCATTTACTTGGAGCGGTTGGTTGCGCGGGTCTTCCTCTGTGTGAATGGGAGCTATGCAGTGCAAGGGACATCGGAGGTTGGAGTAGGAGCCTTTTAAACTGAAGAGGGAGGAAGGATAATCTGCAAAACTGCACTAATGTGAATGGAAGTGGGTGCTGCTGTTTTACCGGGTGACACAAAATGAAAGACAGCATTGAGAGGACATCACCAGGGCTCACCAAGCTCAGAAAGGTAAGAAACATATAAACTCATACATAAGTAACTTTCTTAAAGTCTTTGATCCTGTGTATTTATCATGTATCTTCTGCCTCCTACTGTGAAGCAATTTGCATATTGATTTGGTATTGATTTTACTTTTTTATGATGCAAACTTATCCTGGCTTAGAACTGGCAAAAGATACTGGCGTTCTTAAAATGTCTCTTTGTGAAGTTAGATTGTTCGATCAAATTTAATTCTAATTTTCTGGCTTGGTAACATGGAAAATGCTATTCTCTCTCATTTGTACATGTACACTACATTACACTGTGGTTCTATGCTGTGGTTTCTTGAAATTTGGTATGAGTTTTAAAAATATGACATTGTCAGTATGTCTTTAAATTGCATTGTCTGTTATTCTGCTAATACAGGTGAGCAGCTGTCACAAATAGTACACTTTAATTTCGTACCATGTGCCGGTTGAGGTTTCATAAAATATTCTATAACCAATTTATATAAAGTTATGGTCCAAAACTCACAATGTTATGCCTTAGATTTAACTACTATGTTATAAGACAGGGTTGTACACAGACTTGTACAACATTCAAGCTCAATTTCATTCAAAACTGTTTAGTGAAGTTTGCCTTGAGTAAGTGTGCAGCCCCTCCATTACTGCTGCCCACATGAGAAACATCTAACAGTATTAGATCACACGGGACCTCTCTTTCTCTCACTCAATCTCTCCTCCAATAGACTGTTCCGTGTCTGTCCGCTTATTCCGCTGTAAATGCAAACAATGTGTATGTCCAAGTGGAAGAATGGACTCAAATCTCCACATTCCACAGAGGAGAGAGAGAGAGAGAGAGAGAGAGAGAAGGGAGAGAGGAGCTGTATTTTTGAGGTGTACTTGCTCTGTTCTGGACAAAGGAAAGTCACTATTCATAACTTATTGTTGGAGGACAGTGGTGATATAGTAGTAATTCACACATGTCTAACACACAAACTTTGCATATTTAGGTTGAGTTCTTCTCTCAAACAGAAAACAGCTTGATGAGATGAAGTGCTCCACTTTGTTTTTAAACTCCACACACCTTCATACTTTAGATACTTTCATTTCTGGAATCTGGAAGCAAATCTCTGCTGAACAAAGGTAAAAGAGATGTTACCTTGAAAACTACCGCTTCATGACATCACAAGGCGGAACAAACAGAGCATTTTGAGATTTGAAGATGTAGAGAGACTAATAATAAAAGGATACTCAAACATGTGTGAATGAAACAAAACACAACTCCAGGTATGTTTTTGATGAGGTAACAATATTGTGATGTGGCCTTAATGTGATGAGTCTATTTTGTGTAATATAGGATCTTTAAATATTTTTGAAGGTTACAGTTGATGCTTCTTTATGTCTAAGGACAGGTAGCTCTGTACGGTAGCCTGGAGAGACCAAAACTGTTGCACTTTCTATCTTTTTGTTAGATAAGTGATTGTTTGTTGCATGAGATACGACTGGGCAATAGGAATGTCCGCTATGTCCCTAAAGCACTGACCCTTTCCTAGATGGTTATCAGTGAACCAACCAAATCTGTCTTGGTGGCGTTTTGTAGATAATGATTGACTCTTTTTAAAAAAAATGGTCATTAAACTTCTGGAAACAGCCGTTCATTTTCTGTAATTTTGTGTTTTCCAAATGAACTGTCAACATCAGAGCTTGTGTCTGCCTTGTGTTTACTTAACTGGGTAAGGTTAGGGTTTATTCAATTGCAAGTGGCTGACTCTGTGGCGCTGAGGAGTGTGAGGAAAGAAGATTTACTGGGTCCAGATAGAGACAGGGACAGTCTGTCTGCTACTCAGCAAGGATGTAATAAGCAGGCTATGGTCCAATAAAGTTCCTGCATGACTATTCATACAAGGTAACAGGGTCAAATTGACTTACTGTGTAAAGCTGCCTAAATCAATATTAGTAATAAGTAATAAGTCAATCTCTAAATCAGAATTACAGCATTGAGCTAGACCAAAATCTGAAGGCAACTAGGATGAAATGGAACTTTCCTTTTAGGCAGACAATGTATCCATGGGAAAACTTTGCAATCCTTTGAATTGTAAAAAGTGGTGTTTTTAAAATGGAAGCTGAAATTCATGAATAAGGAGATGTTTTACACGCTTATGGTTAAAAACTGGAAAATGAAAATTGTATCTCAATCCCTTGTTGAATACAGGAGGAAATGTGTGCGTAACTAATCTAAACCAGGGCAAGACGAATTATAGGAACACTCAAACATGAACTTATTATAAAACTATAGCCGGAAAAGAACAATTGGTTTAAAAATATGAAATTCAGGTCAGGACTCAAGCAAAATAGATCTAAACTAGAACAAACAAGTCAAATGGGTCTGCACCAGGGCTGAATGAAGTAGGTTTCAATCAGCACTAAATCAAATCTAAGCCACAACTAAAGACTAAACTAGGCCAAGCACTTAAAAAGCATGCGTTTACTGTGTGTAGACTGAAGATTTACTGAGTTGAGTTGAGATAAAGAAAGAGGGACAGTCTGTAAGGCAGTAATAAGCAGGCTCTGGTCTTGTAAAGATCTGGATATATGTGCATATGTCTCATACTGAACATACAGGTCGGTCAGTTGTTTATGTTGTGAGTCAGGGGGAACTGCCTGGGTGCTCTCTGTGCACCCTAGTGGAAAAGAAGAGATTTGTGTGACCTAGTTTTGTGGCCTAGTCCTAACAAGACAGTTTAGGCTTATTGACATCAATAGAAGAACGTTCAGAGTATATTCATCAATTTGTCTTTTGGATATCTTTTATATTTTTATGAGGACAATGCTGACTCAGTGTAACATATGTGAAGGTTCAATAACAGTTTTACAATGTGTTAATCTACAGAATGTATGTTTAACTTATTTTTGGTCAATTTTCTGTTTTTCTTACATTCTGCAGCATGAAAGTGATGATGTTGCGGATGTATCGGCTTATAAAATGTTACTACTACTACTACTACTTCTACTGCTACTGCTGCTACTGCTGCTACTACTACCAACCTACTACTACTAGCCTACTACTACTACTACCATAGTTACTAATTTTCTCTTTTCCATTGTAAATACCACCACACAAATTTGCCTCGACAATAACAACATCTAATACTAAACTTCTAGCTTCTACAATTTACTACTAAACGAGAACTCCTTTTACTACTACAACACCTATAGTTACTATCACTTCCCCACCACATGAGTTAGGGTTCAGAATATCTTAATGACAATAGTGTGCCTCTATTTGCGATTGTCAGCAGATAGACCAGTGACATCTGTCCTCTCTGTTTGCCTCTGTTCAATTCACTGACAGCAGGCCAATGGAAGGTTATGGCCCCTCCCCTTACAGGACAGGCGCTCAGCAGGACGACCCAGAGCCCTAAAGCCCCCGTCAGGTCACTCTGTTGCCACGGTGACACCCCTCTTGGAGAATGTGCCCCGCGGAGAGGCTGAAAGGGTCTGTCCTGCTGTATGGATATGGAGAGTTTTTGTGATGCTGGGGGAGAGGTCATGATCAAAAACAAGCCTCTCCCCAAGTTAACTGACATGCACTCAAATAACACTGTGGACAATGTATAGCGTAAAATATGATTAGGATTGTCTCCAGAACGTTGTCAAATCAAGATTGAATTACAACATTCTAGGGCCTGTGTAAATCTGAGCTGGGGGAAGGTCAAAGTTATACTCTGGCAGAATTTTGTCCTGTTTTAGGTTGAATATCTCTGTAATTAACTGGGATTATCTATTATCTATGTGAAACAAAAACTGGAACAAAATTCATTGTCTTCTCTGTGAACACAAATTGCGATTTTGTTTTTTCACAAGTGCTTCAGAAAGTGGCACCATTATTTAATCTGAAGTTGTTACATCATAAGATTAATAAACACATTTGTGGAGCCAATCCTTAACAAACAATGAAAGCTTTTACCTTTTGTTTAGTAGAGATAGAGGCAAATCCCACACTGACATTGTCCAAGTGATTCTAGTGAAGGTGTATAGCAGTTTCAAAACACAGTGCAGCACTTCCTGTATTACTATATGATATCACAAGGTGCAGCAGAGTGTTATCAGTTTGAGGAAAGAACTGTGTGAGGATTTGTGTGTTAAACATGTATGAATGAAACAAAACACAACTCAAGGTATGTTTGTGATGAGGAAATAACATTATAACAGAGAGCAGAAAATAGGGTAATATGGGCTCTTTAACATTAATGTATCATCATTTTTTATATTTTGTTCAAACGTTTGTATATTTGTTCCTATTCATGGGTTTCAGGCATAAGGATTCGTTCCTGATTTGGAGGATTTGATAGAACAATGTGAAGGTGTCATAAACTAAGTAAAGTTTCCGTGTAAAGCATTGAGCTGTTACTAAATTACATCACACAATATGGTGATTGTCACTCTTCCAAAATTGCAGAGTGTTTGTTGACGTTTGAGCTCAGAGCCTGTGACTAGAATGTCTGGAGGTTGATCCCGTGTAATGACTTAATGAGTAGATAGAGATGAAGTACTCTAGACTCACAGCAGCTTTGATCACATTCACATCTAAACACAGTCTCGCTGAGGCCTGCAGACACCGAGAACCCTGTCTGATGTGCCACTATCATTTTATTGCTAAATTATGACATTATCCTAAATTGACTTTTATGGGCTGTTAACTTTGTTATACCAGTGTTCCCTAACAATTATTTTAGAAAGTTGCATTTTGATTCATGCGTGCTTGAGTACGCCTGTATTTTCCTGCATGAGGTTTGCATGTTTAGAAAATTTGTGTTTTCAACTGTCCCCTATTCCCTCCCTGGTACAATTAAGTAAAAAAAAATCTGACTTTGGGTCATCATACTTGCGTGGTTAAAAAATGCCATTTAGCCTTTTTTTCTACAGTAAAAAAGTACATTAATAATACTTGCTGCTTGCTATGGTGAAATGTGACTAAGAGGCCTATCAATTCTGCAGTTTTGAAGTCAATGGGCCTGTTTCTACTTAAGTACTAAACCAAATGTGAAGTTTAATTCAGAATAGTACTTAAAATTGGGAAATCGAAAACTACTACTGCTGCTGCTGTTTTTGGCATACTACTGTAACTTTTTAAATCCAGTTTAATAGTTGATTGGAGTTTGTTCATATAGAAATTCAATGTCGAGCTGTTGTTCCTAAAGCAATGCAATGATTTCAGTACATTTTGTGCTCAGTGAGACAGTGTAGATTCCCTGGGATCACTCTGGTTGGGTTTTTCCTCCTCTCTCCTCCCTCTCTCTCCTCCTCCTTCTCTCTCTTCTTCCCCTCTCTCTTCCTTCTCTCTTCCCTTGCTCTCCTCTTTCTCTCTCATTTCTCTCTCCTATTTCTCTCTCCTTCCTCTTTCTTCTCCCTCTCTTTCCTCTTTGTGACTCTTTTGGCTGGGCTTCGTGAGGCTGTGGGTCGGAGGGCGTGTGGAGGTCTGACTCTCCGGAAGAGCACATTCCCAAGCTCTCGCCTCGTGGCTCCCCTGGGGTGCAGCGGCTGGACTGTATGTTTGAGTGCAGCGCAGGCATGTGAGCTGAGGCAGGACTGGGGATGCTCAACAAGTAAAAGTACTGAAACCTAGTACAGTATAAGTATAAAGAGTGCAGTAAATGTAGGTTTGTAATGCAGTTTATGCTGAAACAAAGTATTCAGCTTTAGGGCTCTTTGTTCTACTACTAACACATTGGAATACTGGAAATACTATACATCTACCATGCATCTGATCTGTATCCTGCAATAATCTAATAAATTTTTGCTGTTACAGCTGTGGGCTTGTTGGTAAAAAGGATCCAGGATTGTTCCTGTGAAGCCACACGGGCTGACTTGATATTTTGAGCTGATAAGTTAGTAGTCACCTCAAATTTGGAGTAAAAGTAAGACATTGAATGTAAGTGCTCTTAATGTAGCTGTTGTCACCAAAAGTAATAGCACTGCTGTTGCTAATATTTCTACAATGGTTGGCGTGGTGACACAGTGGTTAGTGCTTCAGCCTCACAGCGAGAAGGTCCTGGGTTTGATCCAGTTGGCGTGGGGCCTCTGTGTGTGAAGTTTGCATGTTCAGAATTAGCTTTGTTGATGTGTCTACCATGCATATGCATTTTTTCTGGGTGCTCCAATTACTGTTAGTCCGTTACCATTAAAAATGTTGAATAGAGTCCCCTTTGGGGCATGGACTCCCCTAAAGAAGTGATTACAAATCTCAGTGGTTAATCAAGATTAAAATAAATAAAACATTGCAGTAAGGTGATGATACACAAACATTTTGTCTTTTGACTCATCCCCTTATCAGTGACTAGTAACCCACTTCATATTGAGTCCAGACTTATTGTAACTGAATTCCCACTCAACTGCCACTTCTTACAAGACTACTAGCAGTAGAAATATAAATTACTTGAGAAAAATTGTCTTTTTTCAATCCTTTTTTCCCCAGTAGCTCCAAAACCTCACGTATTTTAACACATGGTAATATCCGATATCTGGAACGCATTTGTGGTGAAAGACTGTTAAATCTTTGGCCCTGGACACAGCCATTGTCTAAGTGTAAATAATATCGTGGCTGTCTCCGGTGTTTAAGCGCAAACTGAAATCCAATACTGCTATGGTTGCAAAAGACACTAGCCCTGCATATAAATCACCTCACATATTACCTGTGGCTATTTGAAATTACACTCTCTATACCCACTGAAATGAAGGCTATCGCTGCCTGCCAAAGACCTGGGCCCGCTGCCAAACTGAACTCTGTAGAGTGTTTTTTTGGAGCTACCATTCCTGTCAATAGCGTCACTTTCTCTTAGTGAAGAAATATGCTCCAACCACACTGTTCCAACCACAGGTGCATCAATGACATTTTATACTTGCTTGAATATATTTTATGAAATATTTGATATATTTGGTGAAATTGGATATTACAAGCACTCAGTTATTTGTATTATTCATACAAACACAACTGTGATTATTTCTCTTATATAATAATTTAGATGTATTTTTAAAGTGCACTATGGAGTGATTCCTACTTCCAACAAAGATTTGATCAGAAACAGAAAACTTGATTTCATTATTTCATATGGATTATTGCAAAGAACACCATGACAAACATGCATTCTTTTTGTGAGGTTGCCTCTTAACAGATCTGACTTGGCATGGTTTTGGACATGCATATTACTACCATAAATGCTAAATAATAATATAATGATAACCAAAGCATTAAAACCAGCTGACTTATGTCGAAGTTGTCATCAATCAGTAAATCCCCGATTGCTTTGGTTTTCAAACTTTTCACATGAAATATCACCTACGAAAATATTTAGCCTTCCAAGTAGCACAAGATTTAAACCAGGTCTACAACAGGGCTATACCAGGTTTAAACTAGGGCTAAGCCAGGTCTAAAATAGGACAAGTCACAGAAGATCTAAACAAAGACTTACTCAAAGGAGCAAATGTGGATACAATTGACTCTAAATTAAGTTAACCCTAAAACCGCTCTAAATAGATAAGATAGATAATTACTTAATTAATCCTGAGGGAATTTACAGTGCTGTAATGTCTGAAGCTTACCAGAGCATTTGGCAGAGTTGGCAGTAGGTTTTGTGTTGTGTTGTGGTTATGCATTTGACCGCGACAGTGTTAAACAGGGTCACTTAGGTTGTTTGAGTTGCATAAAAACATTGCTGGGAAGAGCTGGCATGTGACCCCGGCCCCAGGAGCCAGAGGGTAATTGGGAGCAGACTTCAGATGAGTCACTTGCGATGATGCTCACGTTATTGGAAGGAAAGATAGATGTGTATGTGATTTGTTTGAGTGTGTGGTTGCCTGACCAGCCGGTCTCTTCTACATTCTGTTTTAATGTAGAAGGGTCTGGAACCAGACCATAGCATGGACAAATCAAACAACCACAGTTGCTAATTTGTATCACGTGTCTTTCAAATGCCAAAGACATCTCCTCACAAATACATTCAGAACAATGTGTTAAGTTTTTTTATCTGAGATAAAACTTTTACTTCACTTGTTGATTCTACAGACGTCCATGTTGTTTGGTAGTCCTGAGTGATATTTTTTCCCCTACTAGAGAGACCATGCATCTCTCTATTATGCATAAGACAAAATCAAAATAAAATACAAAATCAGAATTGATCAATTGCTCAAGGAGTGTGCCCAAATATATACATTCTGATTAGAGCCCGACCGATATATCAGCTGGCCGATATTATCGGCCGATATGGGCCGATATTTCGCGTGGGCATGTTATACCTCGTTATAAAGCTTAGAATCTCTACATTATGTTCATTTAATCCAATTTACAGACAGATAAACACTGAGATTATATTCTTTTTACGGACAATCGGTTTGAGTCTGGATTAAAAGGACAATTATTAGTGCAGATTTGTGATGTGAGGAGGAGCCTGTGTGAGCGGTGAGTGTTGGAAATACATCGACTTTGAAGCTAGTTTAGATTTTGTTATGGGTTAGTTGCTGTAGCTCCCACACATAAACAGGCTGTTTTCTATTGGTCTATTGTAAAGTGACTATATTGGCCGTATATTTGTTACTGGACCAGCATTGATATGTAAATGAGCTGTGAATAGACGTGTGAATGATCCACATTTATGCATATAATTAATTACCGTGGCGCGCACGTTTTTACGGCTAATAGCGGTAGTTTATTTACTAGCTTGGAGTTATGGGTCGGTCGCGATCGAAGCAGCTCTTAGTGCCAGCTCTTTGAAGCGAACAAAGGGAGCATGCTTCTTATTGGGAGCCGTGTTTTCTCTTTTTCTCACTTTTTCTCTTCATGCCGCATGTAGACCCATAGTTTGACAGCAGCAGCGGCTGAAAACGAAACTTTCAGAAATCTGCGTGTGCATAGGATACAAAAAAAAAGTGCATATTTGGCTGCAGTTGAGCATAAAATGAATAAACCAGGACTAATCTTGGGCTCGAGTGAGGGAGAGACCGAGTCCCGACACTCAGTCCTGGTTCAATTCTGGTTTAGTCCTGCTTGCAACAAAACAATCTCAAGAGTCGCTTGGGAGCCGAAAGAGCCAGCTGCTTTAGTGAGCTGAGCCAAAAGAGCCGGTTCTCCAAAAAAAAAAAACTAGAATACCCAACACTAGTAGCTAGAATGTGATGCAAAAATGCCATTAGGCCAATCTACTGTATGTAAATATGATGTAAAGAGTCAGAATAACAATAAATGTTGCCTAAATAAACTCAATTTAGAATCCACTAGAGCCAAACCGAAGTTTTTTAAACAATTCAAGATTTACAGTGAATTTTTACATCACTAAATATATCGGCGATTATATCGGCTATCGGCAGCTCCAACTCCCATCATATCGGTTTCATATCGGCCACAACAAAATCCATATCAGTCGGGCTCTAATTCTGATATACTGTGATACAATAAATGACACATAATCAAGCGCAATATTGATTATGATTAAGTTTTGATACAGCCCTACATGGTCACTGTGTGTGGTTGGTCTTTTCAAATTTCACTAGTCACTTAGTTGCCATTATCTTTATCTCACATTTATTTATTTTTACTAAGCAAGGTGTACACACACACAATAGCAGAACCTCAAGCTTGTACCTCCAACATACAGATTTAGATTTGCATGAAATGTAATTGTACATTATTTTAATTGCTTTGTGCTGGATTTCTGACTTGGTATATCAGACAGTAACTGATTTCAGTTTGGCTTTTCCATTCCATAGATTTATTCTACATGACAGTCATGTTACAACCTTTTCCATGTAACCAGTATTAACACAGTTTGCAGAGAGAGAGAGAGAGAGAGAGAGAGAAAGAAAGAGATGATGATTAGAATTAGAAGAAATTATTAGTAGTATGGTGCACTTCATGTCCACTTTAGGAAATTTGATCCATCTTTGATCCTTCAGTATCTCCTTCAGTATGTGAAGTACAGTATTAGTAGCATAGACTCACTTCCTGCTTTTGTGCTCTTGTCTATGGTGGATCATTAGCCGCCTAGCGCCACCATTTGTTGTAATTAGAATGTGAAACCACTATAGCCACAAACTCCCTTACATAAAGGAGAGGCCCCCCCTTTAAAAGACTGTAGTTAAACTGTTACTGGGCAGTCATTCGTAAAGCCTGATGTATGGAACAGTGTGGCCAAATGTATCTTTCAGTTTCTTTTGTGTTTAATGACATGTTGTTCTTGTATTGGTTGATTTATCCTATACTTTGAGTCAAAAAGCTTGGCATTTATTGCAAACTGGCTCAGTTTGAGTTTTAAATTAATTGTATGTTGTAATATATTGTTGGATATCACATGATGAGTAAATGTAAAAAATGTATATTTAAAGGTGCACTATAATTAAAGGGTAACTTTTCTGGTGTTGGGTCTGTCACATATTCTAGAGAAGTTATTGCTTTGCCTGGAATGATCCACAGTATGGCATGAACATTATTTATCTCTATGGGGGACACCAGGCAAAGATGTAGGTCAGATCTGTGGAGAGTTAACCCCACTTAAGTAAGAATGCATGTTTTTTGCAGAGTAGT